GAGAATTCTGGGAATACTAAAGTCCAACCTTTCGGGCTCATAGCCACCCAAAGCATTTTGGGAGCTGTAGTTCCAACAACAGTCTCTCTGGCTTAGCGGTCAATGGACATCCTGTGCTATCACATTAAAATAAAACCAACAAATATATCCTGAGAATTACAGAGCTGCCCATTGCCCATGATTGTCCATCACCAGAAATCTAGGCTGGCCTATTCTACCTCTTCATCTGATAAACACTCCTATTTATCTTCAAAACTTGGCCCAAATGACAGCTCCTCCTTTGCCCAACTCCTCAAAGTTGGTCACAGCTCTCTGTGAGCTACGATAACTCTTTGTACTACCTACTGACATGTAGTTAATGCCTGCTTTGTATGGCTGCTTCTGCTGCTCAACTCAGCAGATGGAACTTGTCTACTTGTCTTCCTCAAGAACCTCCATAGAGGCTAGCATAAAGCAGGCAGTGCTTCTGGGACAAGACCAACATAACCTTAACAAGTATACAATCTAAATGATTAATGATTAGATAAACAAGAGGAACAAAACATATGAAAGATCAAACACAGTAAAACATTTCAATAACAGTCTATCATAACAATTTAATACTTGTCACAAGTTAGACCATAATTGTTAACTAAATAACCATAGGCTGGGCACAGTGGTACACACCTGTAGTCCCAGCATTTAGAAGTTTAAGGAAAGAGGACTGCAAGTTTGAGGCCAACCTGGGCTACACAGTGAGATCTCTCTCCCCACTCCCCCAACAAAATGAGGGTGGGAGAGAAAGGGGAGGATAGTATTTGTGTAACCAACTCTATGGAAGCCAAGGAGAAGGACTCACCATAAACTGCCAATCAGAGGCAGAATCTGAGCTGAGCTCAGGATGATGGGTGGTGTTTTACAGAGGCTCAGAGAAAGGGGATAGCAGCCCAGATGACTGAAACCAGAAAAGGCAGTGTACTTCCTGACTCCTCGGGTCTGTTTCTCTCACTTCATCGTAATCTATCCCTTTGGCACCCACCACTAGCTCTAGGAGCCCCTCTTATTTGTCCAAAATGGAGCTGAGATTCAAAATTGGCTCCTGGATTTTTGCTCTACTTTACAAGAAGAGAGAGGCTGGGAGGAGGGGAAAGAACTGATATGCCTTGTGAGGTCAGTGCTCTTACACTGTCTTTATTTCAGGGCTGAAAGAACCCTAGGTAACATCCTCAAGAGCAAAGGTTGGAGGTGAGACTGTTTGGGGGGGGTGCGAGAGACATGTTCATCTGAATATCCTTTCTTGCTGTCTCTCCCATTTCTCTTCTTTCAGGAGATCAAGCTATGTTATAACCACCAAGATTTTTGGGGGAGGACAGTAAGTGCTTGGGGAGAAGACCTACAATTGTAGCAATATGTGCTGTATGAAAGAGTGGGGGTTGCTGTCCCACACCTGCCACCCCTGGTTCACATTCTGCCTGTGAGGACCCACAGCATCCCTGTTTCTCCAGATGAGCCTTCATCCCTATCTTTGTCAAATCTCATCTCTGACTTAAACCTTTTCTTACAGGGCAGAAACAGAACGAGGCTTGAGTCGCAAACACATCATTGAAGGTGAGAATTGGGGACTGGAAATTTGAAGTGGATGAATATGAAAACCATTGGAACTGGGAACATTTCTGAAGTCCTGAAGTAAAAGATTAAGTTGACCATGACAAGGGGTTAAGGTCTGATCTCTTAGCAAACTGGAGCTGAGGTATTTATCTTCCTCTCCCTAAGGCCTGCAAGGATCCCTGGAACGCCTCCAACTGGGATACGTGGACATAGTCTTCGCCAATCGTTCAGACCCTAACAGTCCTATGGAGGGTAAAAACACCTCCAAACCTGACAGTCCTTCAAAACTGGGCACTTCCTCAAACATTCAGGAAGCTAGCTTCCCCTCACTTAAAAGCCCCCAAGCTCCATAGCAGAGGCTCAGACCCTAGGACTTGAACAAGGAAGGAGACAAAGAATAGATACAAATCTCTGACTGCAAACATGCCTGGGGCCTGGTGGAATGGATAGAGTATAGGTGGGGTAGACCCAGAGTTTAGGATTTAAGGGATCAGACAGTGAGACTCTTCCTCTTCTGTGTGCCTAGAGATTGTGCGAGCCATGACCGATGTCATCAACCAGGGCCTGGCCCTATACTGGGGGACATCCAGATGGAGTGCTGCAGAAATCATGGTATGTGACCCCTCCATCCCCTAGCTCATATCTGGTTCCCTTTTCACATTGGCATTCCAAACCCCACTGCACTGGTGGAGGGGGCAAGAAAGAAAATGGAAGAAGTGCTCTGACTCGTCTCTCTCCATACCAACCCAGGAGGCCTACTCCATGGCCAGACAGTTCAATCTGATTCCTCCTGTGTGTGAACAAGCGGAGCACCACTTGTTTCAGAGGGAGAAGGTGGAGATGCAGCTGCCTGAGCTCTACCACAAGATTGGTGTGCAGACCCTCACCCCTACCTTTCCCTTCTCACCCATGGCATAGGTCCCTGTCCCACACCAAATCCTCTCCCTCTTAGGTGTTGGCTCAGTCACTTGGTCTCCTCTGGCCTGTGGTCTCATTACTAGCAAGTATGATGGGCGAGTTCCAGATACTTGCAAGACCACTATCAAGGTGAGATCTGGTGGCTCAGGGAGGCAGGGCTGAACCAACATAGCTGCTGTGTGGTGATGGGTAGGGTCTTTGGCTAATTATCCTTGGTTTCCAGGGGTACCAGTGGCTCAAAGAAAAAATGCAGAGTGAGGATGGCAAGAAACAACAAGCCAGAGTCATGGAACTTCTCCCTATTGCTCACCAGCTGGGCTGCACTGTGGCCCAACTTGCTATAGGTGAGACCCTGCTAGCCCTGCACCCTTTGGGGTCCTGCCTCCCTGTGAGACTTCCCAAAGTTATCCAAGGCCCCTCTTCCTCAGACACCTCTGAAATCTGTTCTGTGTTCTCACTAATCCTCATGAGTTCTTTCGTTTTTCTTCTTCTGGTCCCAGCCTGGTGTCTCCACAATGAGGGTGTCAGCTCAGTCTTACTGGGGGTGTCAAGTGCAGAGCAGCTAATAGAACATCTGGGCGCCCTACAGGTGAGTTGGAGACGCAAGAGACAGAACCTTTACCCAGGAGATGAGGCCATGCTGTTTAACCCAGATTAGACTGAAGTGATCTACTACAAAGTCCTCACTTTGCAAGAGGAAGTTTGGGAAGACAGAGTCAGGCTGAGAAATAGTCATGACCTTTCCTTGTCACTGGCCCCTACTGTGGCCTTCCCTGGATCCTCTAACCCATTGTCTTCGCCAGCAGAAAGTGCCCTTTCCACTGCCCATTCTCCAGGTGCTGAGTCAGCTGACGCCGCAAATGGTGATGGAGATAGATGCACTCTTGGGAAACAAATCACATTCTAAGAAATAGTCCGTTGAGCGCGCAGGAGCCCAACCTGGAGGGATTACACCTGCCGGAGTACTGCTTCCCAGTCGGTGGAATGCTGCCCCGCTCCCTTTGATCTCCCCAAAACATCCGAACCAGGGTAGCCCCGCCCACCAACGAGTCCCGGCTTCTTGAGTAGCGCTACGCATGAACAAAGCCATATCCTTCCTCCACGGTGAGACTCGAGAGGGAAAGTAGTCCACCCATTCCTGCTGCGTCGTTCTAGGGCTAGATCCCGGGCATGAGCCTCTCCTCTCTGCCATCTGGTCTCGCTCCTTCCTTTTTCCTATTGCCGAGGCCCAGACAATACCCAGCAGATACGAGAAACACTCAGAGTACCTCAAAAGTGGCCCTTAAAATGTCACTAAGGGGTAAGAACCTAATGATGTCCTGATGTCATCTGGAACACAGAAGTGGGCTTTGTTACTTGTTTAAAAGAAGCCAGGCTGGTCCTGGCAGGAATGATAAGCTTTGGTGAACCAGAACCCTGCCTCCTGCCCGGAGATGCAGGATTTAAATCTAGCATTCCTATCACACTTTGTACTTGCAGAGAGGGGGTAAAGGGGGGGAAGACAGTACTGACAAGGCAGAAAGAAATCTGATGAATGTATAGCAAATGTGGCCCTTGGAAAACAAAATTGGGTGGTGCTTTACAGGATTTAGTGACAGCCTTTGGGTCAGCAGCAGAGACACGGGACTGTAAAAGGTCTGGGAACCAACTCTTGGGCCTTGAACTGGACTTGATAGCAATGGAAGAAAGACTGCAGTCTTCCTCCTTGCAATAATCCTAAAGCAATAATGATGGCCCCTCTTCTGTGAGACTTCCCAGGGAACTCTAAATAAAATCTCTGCTTGCTCCTCAGTGTCTGAAATTGCAGGGGGGTGGGCAGTTAGGGGCACCAACTCATAGCTTTTCCTCTTGCTCCTTCATTAGAAAGCTTTTAGCACTAATTTTCGCTCCATTCACATGAGTGGCTGGGATCACTCTTAGTTACAGTTCTCAAGGATCTAGGCACTGGTAGCCTGGCATAGATCTTCCTTAGAACCTAGTGATCTGGCTTCTTAGTTTTGTTGCTCCCCTTTTTTTTTTTTTTTTTTTTTGTCTTTTTGAGACAGGTCTCCCTGTAGTTCCAGCTGGCCTGGAACTCCCTATGTAAACTAGGCTGGTCTTGAACTCACAGAGATCCACCTGCCTCTGCCTCCGGAGTGCTGGGATTAAAGGCATGCACCACCATGACCAGCACTCCTGTTCTTACCTTATTAATGAAAGATCCAGCTGTGTAATCTGTGTAATACTCCCAACCTTTAAAAAAAATTACAGCAGGGCGTGGTGGGTGGCACACACCTTTAATCCCAGCACATGGGAGGCAGAGGCAGGTGGATCTCTGTGAGTTCAAGGCCAGCCTGGTCTACATAGTGAGTTCCAGGACAGCTAGGGCTACAGGGAGACCCTGTCTCAAAAAGACCAAAAGAAAAAAATTGCATTGTGTGTGTGTGTGAGAGAGAGAGAGAGAGAGAGAGAGAGAGAGAGAGAGAGAGAGAGAGAGAAGAGAGAGAGATTTCACAGGACCGTGGATCATGTGGATCAAAGGACATGATTATGTGGAGAATTCTGTTATAATAAAAGATTGAATGGAACCTGTCTCAAGAGCACAGACCCTACCACGCCACTTGAGTAGAGGTCAGAAGACAACTTTCCAGAGTTGCTAGTCTCCTTCTCACCTACTATGTGGGTCCTGGAAATTAAAATCAGGTTGTCAGACTTGGTGGCAAGCACCTTAACCTGCCAAGCCATTTGGCTGTCCCCCCCACCCCGACACACACACATCTTTTTTTGTTTTTAATATTCTACTTGCCACACTTCTTCCTTGTATTTCTCCTTTCCTTCTTGTCTTGGACCTACACATGCCTTAGAACTAAGTAGTTTTTGATAGGGCTGTGTGGGAGAGGTCACTGTGAGTTGAGGTTTTGTGGTAGGTAAACTGAAGCCTGTCTCTGTAGAAGGTATACAGAGAGAGGGAGTCATAATTTGACAGGAAAATCAGTGAAAGGTCAAATGGGCTATGTCAAATACTGCCCCTATCTTCTTCTACAGACTCTGATTTCTTGGGGGACAGGAAGTAGGTGGAAAGTTACAGCCCACAGTAATTACAAGGCAAAGGAGGATGAGCTCTGCCACCTTAAATATAACCTCACCATCTCCCACCTACCCTTCTCATCCTGCTTGGAGCCTGAAGTTGAGAGTGTAGAGTAAAACTAATTTCCAAAAGAGAAATGCAGCAGCCTGCCCATGTACGGGATTAGCAACCACCAGGACCAACTAATGAATACTTATATCCACCCCTTTAATCTCCCACTCATTTTGGAAGGCTGTGGAGGAATCAAAGAAGAAATGTATGACTAAACTATGATTAGTTCTTCTGTGACAAACACACAGAAATTTATCAATTCAAAATAGTATTTGCCTTAAATAGTTCTCTTGGTGAGCTATGTACTGCTTTTAATGCTGCCTCCCCCATTGCTCACACATTTTTTCTTTATTTTCTTTCTTCTGCTCAACACATTTTAAAACCTCTTAGAATTATCTCCAGAAGTAGTTTAAAGCCCCTTGCAAACAAAACCTTACTTTATTGTTATGCTTCTTTTGTTTATAAATATTTGTGCCATATTTCTCACCCACCTTATTTATAAATTCAACAAATATTTTGTGCGTTGGCGTGGCACAGGGATACAGTGGTGAACAAAACCAGACACAGAACAACCTTCATGCAGTTAACTGATCGGGAGAGGCAATCACATGACCACTGATCAACTACAAACTTCAGTTGCTCCAAGTCCAGAGGGAAACACACAGCATTAACAGCATTCCTAACGTGTATCTGTTATGGGGAGGCTGCCCTGGCAGCAAAAGAATGAGTAGTGTTAGTAATGTAAAAGTAGGGCTGGAGAGCTAACTCAGAAGTTAAGAGCACTGGCTAATCTTACAGAAGACCCAGGTTCAGTTCCCAGCACCTATGTTGCAGAGGACCCAGGTTCAGCAACCAGTACCTACATGGCAACTAACAACTCCAGTTTCAGGGTATCCAGCACCCTCTTCTGACATCCATGGGCATTGTATGCATATGATTTATCTACATACATGCAGGCATAACACTCATACACATAAAATAAATTTAAAAAATTTTAATTTTGGTGGCTGAAGAATGGCTCAATGGTTAAGAGCACTGGCTGCTTTTGCAGAGGACCCAAGTTCAGATCCCCTCACATGGCGACTCAAACTGTCTATGGCAGCTGGGAAACAAAGAAGGGGCTGAATTCCCAATATTCCTTTCAAGGGCACACTCCTAGTGACCTAACTTCCTTCCACTAGGCCCCAACTCCTAACCACTCCACCACCTTCCCCAAAGTACCATCACCTGGGAACCAAACCTTCAACACATGGCTTTAGAGGACATTTAAGATTGAAACCAGGCCGGGTGTGATGGCGCACACCTTTGGTCCCAGCACTTGGGAGGCAAAGGCAGGTGGATCTCTGTGAGTTCAAGGCCAGTTTGGGCTACATAGTGAGTTCCAGGCCAGTTGGGGCTACCGGGACCCTGTCTCAAAAAAGACAAAAGAAAAAAAAATAGACAAAAAGTTTGAAACCATAACACAATCCATAAGTCTCCAGCCAGAATCTTTAAAGAGCAAAAAGAAGTCAAATGTGAGGCATGAAGAGGTCAGAACACACAGGGCCTTCTGGGTATTTTAGAATATTATCTTAATTCTAAAGATAATAGGAAAGTGTCTATTTTAGTTATCGACACATAATAAATCATCATTCCCAAATTTAGTGGCTTGAACATCTTTTAAAAAAATAAGATGGGGGGCTGGAGAGATAGGTCAGCGGTTAAGAACACTGACTGCTCTTGCAGGGTTCCCAGCACTCTCAGGGTGGTTAACCACCATCAGTAGCTCCAATTCCAGGGGATGTGATGCCTTCTTCTGACATTCACAGGCATTGCACAACACGAGTGCACTTGCACACATGCAGGCAATACACTCATACACATAAAATAATTTAAAAAATTTTTTTGGTCTTTTTGAAGCAGGGTTTCAAAAAGACAAAAAAAATTAAAAAATAAAATGTGGGGCTGGAGAGATGGCTCAGTGGTTAAGAGCACTGGCTGCTCTTGCAGAGAACCTGGGCTCAGTTCCTGTCACCCACATGGGGGCTAACAACCACCTGTAACTTCAGTTCCAGGGGCTCAAACACCTGCTTCTGGTCTCTGTGGGCATTGTATGACATAGGTGCACTTATACACATTCAGGCAAAATTCTCATATACATAAAATAAAAATAAACTTTAAAAACAGTAAATAGTTCGGTGTGGTGGTGCATGCCTTTAATCCCAGCATTCAAGATGTAGAAGCAGGTGGATCTCTGTGAGTTTGAGGCCAGCCTGGGCTAGCAAGTTCCAGGCCAGCTGGGGCTACAGTGAGACCCTGTCAAAAAACTAAAATCTAAAAAAATTAAAATAAATAAAAATGAAATGGGGGAAAGGAGAAGATGCCAGAGAGATGATTCAAATTGCTCTTGCAGAGGACTTGAAGTCTGTTCCCAGCACCCATGTTGGGCAATTCACAACCACCTGTAATGCCAGCTCCAGGGAATCCAACACCCTCTTTCAGTCTCCAAGGCCAGCTGCACTTACATGCACATACCCAAAGATACATAATTAAAAATAAAATTAAGCCGGGCGTGGTAGCGCATGCCTTTAGTCCCAACACTTGGGAGGCAGGGGCAGGCGGATCTCTGTGAGTTCAAGGCCAGCCTGGTCTACATAGTGAGTTCCAAGCCACCTGGGGCTACAGGGAGACCCTGTCTCAAAAAGACCAAAAATAAATAAAATTTAAATTTTTTAAAATTAAAAACACAATTTTTTCATGATTCTGAGGGTTTAATTCTGCTGTTTTCACTTGTCCTCCATGTGGCTGTATTCACTTAGGTTAACTGAACTGGAACATCCAAGATGGCCTCACTAGTGTGTCAGTCAGTAAGCACTGGCCTTTGCCTGGGGCACCTCTGATTTCCTCCACATGTCCTCACCTCCAGTGGCCTAACCCTATTTCCTTACATGGTCGTCTCAGGCCAGCCTTCCAGTACACAAAGTAAGAAGGTACAAAGTGTTGAAGGACTAGGCTTCAGAATACACACATGACTTCCACCTCCTGTTATGGTCAAGGCTGGTCACAAAGCCAGCCTAGATTCAAGAGATAGGAAAGTACATCCCAATTCTTACTTGTGTTTTTTAAAAAAGATTTATTTTTAAGTATGTGTATATGTGTGTGGGTATATATGCATGTGAGTGCAGGTACCTAAGGAGTCCAGAAAAGGGTGTCAGAGCCCCTGAAACTGGAGTTACAGGTAGTTGTGAGTCACATGATGTAGGTGCTAGGAACTGAAGTAGAATCCTTGTCAAGAGCAATATGGGGGGCTGGAGAGATGGCTCAATGGTTAAGAGCACAAGCTGTTATTACAGAAGACCTGGGTTCATTCCCAGCACCCACCCTCTTCTGGCCTCTGTGGACACTGTATGAGACAGGTGCACCTATATACATTCAGGCAAAACACTCATACATATAAAACTAAATCAGAAAAAAAAAAAAACAATGTGAGCTCTTAACCACTGAGCCATCTCTCCGGCCTATTTCATGTTTTGAGACAGGGTCTCACTATGTAGTCCATGCTGACCTCACACTTAGAGTCCTTCTGTCTCAGCTTCCTAAGTGCTAGGATTACAGGTATGTACACCATGCCTGGTTTAGACCCTGACTGATGAGAGAAGCAGCAAAGTCAAATTGCAAAGGATTTGGGGGCTATTCAACAAGCACTACC